TTCTGATTCTGAAAAGAAGCCTGTTGAGGTGGTTCAGACATCTGATTTGGATGCCTACTGGGAGACTTAATTTTGAGTTTTTCTGAGTACATCCGCTGGGGAGGAGACCATGGGGTAGACATAGAAATCACTGCAGGGGTTATATATCTCATCTGTTCTGGAAACGCCTAGGGATTCCCCAGGAAAACCTGGAAAGTGCTGCCAGGAAAAGGGATGTCTGTAATGACTTGCTTTGTCTGTTGTCTTTGCAACCCAACACCGGATAAGCAGAAGAAAACGAAACAAAAACAAAATGAATCAACATGATCAAAATGACCAAAGCATGATTTAGGATGTCTTTATAACAGCTAAACTGTAAGTAGATTAATAGGAATAAAGGGGAAAAAGCACACCTTATCTTTGTAGAACCATCTTAAGGTCGGGTGCGGAGAACCACGAACTGTAAACTCTATGCAGGTGTCGTGACGCCGTTCTGGCTCCTTCAGCTTCACAATGGTGGGAGGAACTGAAGGGATGAAAGAGAACAGAAGGACAGATGAGCACTGTCAACTTTGTAACTGAAACATAGGTTAAAAAAAAGAAAAAGATGTAGCTGTATTTCATTACCATGTGTATGTACACTAGTGAGACTTACAAGCGATGTATTGTTGTATTGTAACATGAGAGGACAAGTAAAGAAGTGAGAAAATTCAGAGACATGAAGACGGTAGACCTTAATTACCTTTTTAATACACTGGTTTCATCACAATCAGTTCCAATCGATCTGGGGTGACAGTGTGTGTGTGTGCTGCTGTTCTCATGTTTCTGTGACTGACTATCTGAATTGTAAACACAGTTTGCTGTAACTGTGTGTTCTCATCTTGCACCAGTCAATTCTAGGAAATTCAAACCAGCACTCATGACCAGTTATTAGTCGTTCCGTTGTAAATGGAATATCAATTTAAATGTACAAACACATTCTCACACACACACACACACACACACAACCTGAAGTCTGTTATCAAGGCTTCAGATAAACTCAAAAATTGTTTGTGTAGCACATCTGACAACCAGTGTCTGAGTTAGACAGCACAAGAGAAAGCAGCTTTACATAAAAACATGATTGGATGCTAATAATTGTCCATTAACAGTAAGTGACTACAGCCATGTGAGAAGTACTTAGAGCCTATAAAGTGGGCTTTATTGTACTGTATTATATTACATTGTATAATATTTCTATATTGGTTTAGATGACAATGTGTAATGTGAAAGACATCACTCGGAGTGATGCACTTCTCTCCTTTATGAAGTTTGTATAGCCTTTTAATTTTTCATTTCAACGACTAAAATAAAAAAGAATATAAAATAATTAGGGCTGCAAGGTGGTGCAGTTGGCTAGCACTGTTGCCTCGCAGCAAGAAGGCAATCAGTTTGCGTCCCGGTGGGGGCACCGGAATCTTTCTGCATGGAGTTTGCATGTTCTCCCCGTGCAGCGTGGGTTCTCTCCGGGTTGTCCGGCTTCCTCCAACACAGTCCAAAAACATGTTGAGGTTAATTGGTGATTCTAAATTGTCCGTAGGTGTGAATGTGAGTGTACTTGGTTGCTGGTTGGCTGAGTGTAGCCCTGTGATAGACTGGTGACCTGTCCAGGGTGTCCCCTGCCTTCACCCTAAGTCAGCTGGGATAGACTCCAGCCCCCCCGCGACCCTAGTGAGGATTAAGCGGTGTATAGATAATGGATGGATGGAGAAAGGTATGTTGCTGCATAATGTTTTTGAAACTTGGAAATTTTATTCCAAACGACCACATCTTTTTGTGTGTTCAATATTCATTCAATTGTATATGTTGTAATTTATAGTTCAGCCCTAAGGTTTAAGCCAGCTAAATTATTAAAAGCAAAGACACAGTAAATATTAAATCTTGCACATTAACAAAGTTCAACTTGAACAGCAAATTTGTGAATACACTGATCTCGAATATCTATCTATCTATGTATCTATCTATCTATCTATCGTTTGCTGGGTTTGTGAAATAATTTCTATTGTGCTTCATTGCTATTTGCAAAGGTCTCGCCAGTGACAGCCACATTTGGCGTGGTGCACACGAGGCAAGGCAGACCATGGGAAACAATCTCGGTAGGAATTCCCAGGTCCAGTGGTTTAGCAATCGAGGCATCTGTTGGAGTGACTTCCTTCCCTTCTTCCTCTTCACTGGAAGAACTGCTCCAGATGTGCTTGTCATTTACTGCGGCGGCAAACGACCTCGGGCGTGTAAAAAGTGTCCTGTTAATTAAAGCTTTGAAGAGAGACCTGCAAGACCTCCATTTACAGCATCCTCACATGGAAATAATACCTTCCTCAAATAACCAGAGACGCCACTGGAGACATGCCTTTACCAGTGAAGTTGGACAAGGTGCGGAAGTTTGTCAACAGTATGATGGCTACATTTGTATTGTGCGTTAAAGGGCACATTATTTATCATACAGAATTAGTGTTCAACAAGCCTGAACTATTTTTGAGGGATAAAGTTTATTTAAGCCTCAGGGAAATGATCTATTTTTAACTAATATTGCCCCCTATGTGAGAGACCAGATCCAAATGCTGATAATAAAATTAAAGAATTAAAGAAAATGTTGTCTATGATTGTTCATCAAAATAACCGAAAACACTGGGCCACTGTTGGCAGGGCGACGACCCCGTCTTGGCTGGGAACACGTGTATGTGTATGTGTGTGTCTGTGTGTGTGTGTGTGTGTGTGTGTAAGTGTGTGTAAAGGAGGGTTGGTCTACTTACAGTGAACAGTTAGCTGAACAGAGGCGTTGGTCATGCCCACTATGTTGGTGGCAGTGCAAGTTAGCAGGAAGTTGTTGTCATCTCTGCTCACATTGACCAAGGTGATTTTGATGGAGTGAACGGTGTTGTTCTCGTAGACTCTAGCCTTGAAGGACACCAAGACAAAAATACACCGGCATGAACATCAGGCAGGAGTATAGCATGGGAGCAGGTTCAAGACTAAATATACAGCACTATTATTCAGTAAAGGTTACAGTGTCAAACTCAGTATTATACTGCATAAACACAATGTTGGCAGAATCTTGATGTTATTCCAATTTAAGTGTTCATGCACAGTAGTTTTCACTGTTATCCTTGTACTCACATGTTTAGCTTAGATTGTATAGTTTGAAAAATCATTACTAGTTATTCGTTCTTAATTTATACACTCCTTCCAAGTTTGCTTAAAGGGCTGTATTAGTGTAAATATTGGATTTTATGCAGATTTACATTTTGTTTGACTGTTTTTGGGAGAGGATCTCTGCATCTGTGTGGCCCTGAAAAGCTGCTGTGTGATTCTCAGATTGGTAACACTCATAGAAGACAAGCACTGAGCTGTTAAACTTTAAGAAGACAAGTTCTTCTAAAAACATAAAATCCACCATCTAGGCCAGAGGTGTCCAATCCTGGTCCTCGAGGGCCACAATCCTGCATGTTTTAGATGTTTCCCTCTTCCAACACACCTGATTCAAATGATCAGTATCGTTATCGGGCGCCTGCAGAGCTTGATGATGAGCTGATCATTTGAATCAGGTGTGTTGGATTTTTGCATAATTTATTTCATGACTGAATCGCTTGTTCATATACGGGGATTCCCACTGATGGCCAATCAAAATGAATGTAACAGAAAGTCACCATATACCGGAGCCTGCTATCCTGCAGTGTTGAACGGCGGTGAAAGCCCCAGACCGAACAGTGTTGAACAGGAGTCTTAATCCC